TACCAAAGTATCAGTTGGCGTTTACACACGGAAAATGTTTACCTAGGTAAGTAAACTCTGGTACCTCGGTAAACCGTTCAAGTCTAAACACGGCATTAGTCTCCAGAGATTGCTGTGCGTTAATGAATTTGATTGTAGCAGCTCCCAGCTTTTGTCGTCTTTTTTCGTAACAACGTGGACACGCTAACCGAATCTTCCAGTAACGGGTTGGACATCCAGCTTGAGTTTCGTAACTCTTCGTGTCTAATCCACACTTTACTCTGAAAGAAAAAGATATGATGAACAAATTCACCATTCATGACATTCGTCACCAAAACCAGAATTCTCTGACACTAGTGAAAATATATCACTCAATTAATTCTTTGCCAGTTTCAAAAAATAATAGCCTAATAAACAGTGAACTTTCCATGCTAAGACCTCACACTTGGCCTCCATGTTTTTGGAATTCAATCTACCGTAATTGATTCCGCAGTGAAGCAAGAGTGCGCCCTGACTCCATTCAACAAATGTTTGCATTTTTCTGCCAAACAAAACTTTAAAATCTGACTTTCCTGAATATTTTTATCGAGAATCAAGCAGTGGTTTTCACTCAACTCACCAGACCTTCCAGCTCTGATGTCTCTGTACCACTACATGTCGGTTCTCGTCGGATTCGTGCTTTTTTTCTGAGAAAAAGAAATACAAATAAATAAATTATGCTGCAAATCACGCACTTGAAGTGCAATTCTCACATTCTAGGGTATATCCCTCGAACAACACATTTCCATGTCAAACTGAACTGACACTTTGAACATTTGTTCTTTCTCTCACTCAAATAAGATTGAAGACGAACTAGTTTAACTTAAAGCAATGTTGAGAGAAACCAACACTACATAGATAGACCCCTTTTTAAAACTGACATTGACTTACCACACCGTGACATTTCTCTTGTCTGCCAGAGCATTATGTTAACCAACCCCAACTGAACTGATGGCTGGCATTTGGAACAAACCCTGTGGTGTGTTTGAGACAAACATAAAAGAAGAAAGCATAAGTCTCGTTTGATAGCAGCCAGACGTAAAAGAGAAATTTTTTTTTGTATCATTATCAAGTCGGAAGTAAATTACAATGCGTCTACCACAGATCGCCTTGTGGTGCTGCTTTCGCGGCAATCTCATCCTTGGCCTCATATTTCAAGTCACTTTGGTTTTACACTACTTTGTTTACATTTGTTCTCAGTGAATTACGACAATAATATCTCGTGTCGGCTTGTGCATGTTCTCTATGGGGGAAACTTTAAAGAGAGGAAGAGCCAATGGTTCAAAGCCAGCAAGTAACAAAGCCCTAAGAAATGAGGGGGATCGAAAGAACTTGCAAATTACAAAACACAATTACAGGGTAATAGTTGGTCAGGCACCCTAGAGATTTCCACTATTTATAGTGGCTGTGTTCCATTGGTTAGGGTAGGAGCAGCGTGGCATGAAACATTCACAAGCCACTGGAAGCGAGAAAGTATAAATTAGTTATCACTGAGTGTCTGTACTGAACAAATTCGTGGGCCATGATAATTTCATGGATTGCCTTGAAATTGAGCACAAACTTCCCCAACAAATGAATGCGGAAAAGTGGTGTAAGGTATTGCCGTTTTTCCAGATCAAATCTTGGTGGGTTTAGAATTATTGGCATCCTTTCAAAATGGGCGGAAGAGGGGAAAGTCAAATCCAGTGAGGAGACATGTATTGTAAAAACTCTCTTGCTGGAGGTGAGTTGAGGCTCATTTTGTGTCAGAAGTGTCAGAATATTCCCTGTTAGGCCTGTTAATGCTGGCTGTAGTCAATGGCGTCAATGAGATAAAGAAAACAGGCAATGTATATTAATAACATGTAGGACTTTCTCATTTTGAAGCTGGCAGGTTTGGTGAACAATTGAACTATGGTAGCAAACCAAAACAGCCCTCAACGTCTCATCTGTCACACCCCTACCAGTCTTTTGTGGGTCATTCAGTGACATTAAATGTTGTGTAAATAGGCAGCGCTCAGTAGAAACTTCCTAGATCACCTTGATAACCGTAAAATGCCTATGGACACCTTGCAAAATCAGCCAATGCTGCATTTATGTTAAACAAACTTAAAAATGTGAAAATCCGGCCTGTAAAATCTGTCAGTTATTTGAAACCACAAAGCAAGTACTCTGTTTTTCTTTCTTGTAGACTTCACTCATTGTAAAAAACAAATTTCAATGCTACTGACCGGCCTGATTAAGCACTAAATCCATCGAGTGTTTCTCTGTTCAAAAAGCTCTCACCTGGAATACGTGGTCGCACTCCTGCGACATAATTCCAGGATAAGACAGTGGCAAAAGACAACTCAGTAACAAGCCAAGAGAAGCTGCATAATTCCTCTTTTTTTTGAGTGAAAGCATAAAGTGGCTTGCAAAATAATGATGGAACATGAAACATGCTACAGTCCTGGAACTTTGAGATAATGATAGGCCTTGCTGCACAACACTCTGTTGGTGCAACAGCTACTAAATGAGAATAGGACAATCACATGACTTTTGGAGGGCATATAGTTTATTTGTGGCCCGAGTAGCATCATTTGC